ACACCTAAGAGCAGCACTATTATTCATACCTAAACAAGGTAAATGCTATCTCTTGCAACAGCAGATCCATTTCCTAGGGCTGTTTTCCTAAAGCCCCACAATCAGGTTGTGTCATTCAACTCTGTACATTCAAGTAAGTATAAGTGGCTTATTCTGCTTCCTATTCTTGCTGCTTCTATCAGTTCAACAGCAAAAAGGGCGACACATTTTCTTTTTTATTTTTTTTTTTGAGAGGTTTTTGCTATAGGGTGCATGCGCTTGCCAGACAGACAGAGAGAGACAGAAAGCAAGAAATCACCCCCCAGGGGGGATGGCCACACTGCAATCCCTTCTCCTCCATTCTCCTCTCGGGATCTTGGGCATGCATGCACGTGCCCAGCGGGGCAACACATTTTCTAGATGTGGTACCAGCATAGCTGGTGGAGCTGTTATCATTTTGATGTTGAGGTCTACCAGAGAAACACCTTGTTCTTCTCTTAACAACATTTCTGCAAGGTGGATCACTGTCTTCCACTTTCATTAGCTATATTAGCCTTGTTTTTCTAACTTCTAATTTGTAGAATCCAAAAACTACTTTTCTCAATGATTTAGGTTTCTTCTCTGAGCCAGCATAACTAGTAAAAAGAATCTCCATGCATATGATATATGTGAGAAGCAATGTTTCTGAACATTCTACAGACAAATATTGTAAACCATGTATAGAATATTGGGATTGAATGTAATCTAGATATTTTTAAAATGAATTATTTGAAACATTTTTAGTAACATAATGCAGAAATATACTTACTTCATATGTTAAGAAACCCTAATTCATTATCTCAGCAATTGATTCAAAGTATTTACTTGCAATTTTTTCTGTGTGATGATAGATTTTTCTCCAAGGGTCTTGCATAAGTGGCACATCCTCAAGAAATGAATAATAAAAAGAAAACATATTATTTTATACAATATGATTTATAAGGAATAATAGTGCTGAAGCCAGAAGAGGTGCTGCCTAGTAAATAATTTTAAATAAAGGAATTAATGGCAATAAATAATATTGAAAATGTTATGTCTCCCTGGACTTTCATATTTTACGTCAGTAGAATGTAAGAAAGTGAGCATATAAATTATGTCCAGAGTATTGTGCAAATAATGTTTTTGCCCAGAAGGTATTGATTGTCTCTTTAAATACTCTCTGTGGAGTTCTCAGAAGGGAGCACAACTTTAACAAAAGAAAAAGGGGACATTCTCAGTCTCCCACACAACTCTTTCATGACTGCGCATAGCCTGAGAACAATCGATTTATGTGTATTTTTCTGTTTTATCATTCAATTTAAGAAGATCAAAACCATCTTTTATTTTTATTCATTATTTTATTTGCTAGAAGTTACATGTGCTCACTGGAGAGAGACAAAGAGAGAGAAAGTGCGAAAGCACCTCCCATGTGTCATGGACACTCTATAATCCCTTCTGTATTTTCCTTCTGGAATCTGGTCATGTTCCACATGCCTGGCATGTTTCCCAAGCCAATGGGTACAAGACTCATACTGTGCAGTCAGCCATATGAGATCCACCACACCACCCACTGGCCCCAAAACCATCTTTTAAAAATAGAATATCATAACAGTTTCATATATTTAACTTTGTCACCTCATCCACATTTAACAATGCCGTTTTCAAGCAATTCCATCTGAATGCCATTGTGCAGTTAGGATTTAGTCCACTAAACACATCACTGTGTCCCCTTCCTTAGCATTTTTCAGACCAAGCACTTTCATTTATTTTAACTAGTTTCCAGTCAACGTCAGTCAGAAGCACTTAAAATATTGAACGCCAACGTTCATGTTAAAGTCTATCTGCTTCAGTCATCTTCCTCATCCAGCTTTCTTCTGAACTTACTCACATGTTTGATTGTGTTTCCTGTGCCCATTCTCAGATGGCGTGTGAAGATACCTCACTCACAGCTGATCAGGGAACCTTGCACTAGTTTCCAGTGTTATGGGAGGATTCTGACTTTGTAAAGCACAGCAAAGACAACCGTAAGGTCAATCATTTGGAATGGATGTAAGTGCACTTCTTTTCACTGGATCTTAATGTTGGAGTCACCAAGGTAAACAACATGGTTAGGAAAGAGAGAGAATACACTTTTACTCACATAGCAGAAGATCAGCTCCAATGGTTGGTACCATTCCTTCAGGACCAGCAGGTCCCCAGGCTGCCAACAAGGGCAATTGTTCAATACTCACCCCTCCAGAGTCAGTGGATGGATCACTCCCCTCCTTATGAGGTCTGAACTACTGAAAGCCAGAGTGTGCTTGAGAGCCATTGAGAATCAATCCTGTACAAACCTAGACAAAACAAAGAAGCATACACTGAGCTTGGAGCAGGAAAACATACTTCTACACAAAGCAGGGAATTCAGCACAGACTATTTACCTCTTGGTAAGGAAGTATTCCAGACTCAAGGCCTATTCTTCTGGAACTAAGTAGGGGACAAAAGACTGTATGCAAGAGACTACCTTTCCCAACACTCCAGATCCCCAGGACAACTGTAAACACTGAGTATCTGCGTGTTCATGGGATGGAGAGCTCTCCAGACCGCCACGTAAGCTGTTGAAAGAGGAACCCAAAATTGGGGCAATAGATGTGACAGAAAAAAGCTAATGTCCTGCACAAGTCTACTTATTCTCTGGAAAGGTCAATTTTAACAATTAATAATAAAAATAAATGTATATGTCACTGTTTTATTTTATAACAACCTTGTAAATTTTTTCAGACCAAAAAAAAAAAGAAAATAACTGACCACAGTTTGACTCCTAGACCTGAAAGCTTATTTTCTTACCTTCCTTCTCTCTCTCTCTGTGTGTCCCTCTCATAGTGTGTGCCCTATAACAAATTTGCAATCAATCAATAAATAAAATTAGATAAATAATTATTTTTAAAATATATAACACAATTATATGTGAAAGTTTAGGTGCATTTGTGATGGCATTTGAACATATATTGTTAGTCTACCCACTATGAAATATTTATAGGATGAATTTTTCTTGGGCAAAGACAGAATCACATGACAAACACACACACACACACACACACACACACACACACACACACAAGCACTTGACAAAATTCTTACTTTAGAATGTTTGCACAAGCACCAATATACTCACATGAGTAGCCAGCATTCTTAGGAAATTTCATAAAACACTCTCAAAGAATTTCCACTAACTAGACCTGTTTGATGTGGATTTGAAAATACAGGAAATTTTTAATAATTAAAATCACATGATTTAAGGGTGAGAATTGTGACCCAAAAGCAAAAAGTATCTAGCCTATGAAATTTC